TATTACGCTAAAATGTAAAATCTTGGCTCTAAAAAGACCGTCAAGAGCCAATCAAAATTTGCGATTTGTTAGTAGATCATTCTAGAAATGTTCTAGAACCGATATCCATTTTTGGTAATATCCCTGACTGTAATTGTGAATCTGTCCACAATTTATGTATCATTGCGATAGTACCACCACCAAGACCTGCACCAACAACCACTACCATTGGAATTATTTCAGGTCGTAAGGTACGAATAGCATGTCTAAACCTGCCAGTTAATGATAATGGATCGTGAACTGAAATCTTAGCACGTGCTCGGTTTTGTTTAGTTAAAAAACGGTGGTTTACAGCCATTTTCTACAGATACGATATTTCTAATAAAGGCGTGAAACAAAAATTATCAATAATCAATAAGATAATTGTTTGCAAATAAATGTTAGTTCATTAAAGAATTTTACCGTTATTACTGAAAGGCAAAAAAAGTTCTCACTGCAAAGTAGATATCGAGTCAAACAAAAAGTTAGTGGCTTTTATAGATTCTAAAATATGAGAAAATGATGTAATTTTCTTCGCTATTACGTAACTCTGTGATTTCAACAATGACATCGTAGATGAACTGGCCAATTTTTAAATCCACGATTTCATAATAATTTTATTATATATATATACTTTATTAGGATTAGGAATTACATCTGATTAGTATCGCTATGGTATAGTTTAAATTCGGCCTATATTACAGTATTATACTAATTTCAACCTTAGCCATTTTATATTATGTAATCATTGGGAGGTTTAAGATGACTTCTTCATGACGAAATTTAAAGTTCATTCATGTAAAAATGCTAACCAATGAAATTCATGATTAATTGAATTGTTCTCGTGATGATCTCTGTTAAATACTGTACAACTGTATGCTGATTTTTCCTATTAATATTTCTATCACATTTTTCCGAAACTGTTTAATTAAAATTTTTTTTTTTACTTTTAAAAAAAAAATAATAATGCAAACATCTTTTGAGATCGTTGACAATACTAATATTAAAGGAGAAAAGGATGAATTAGAATATTTTCTTCCAGATTATTTAAACGATTCTTTACTGAGCAAAATAAATGATCCGGATCCAATACCTACTTGTTGGAATGTAAAGGATTGTTCTCGAGACCTGAAAGTTGACGATAATCTACTTTCGGTTAGATATAATGGTAACTGTTTAGAAAAAAAGTTATTCATAAATATATACTGTATATAATTAAAATTATGAATCTTTCTTATCGTTATGGAAAAAAGGAAACAGGATAGCTGCAGCAGTTAGAGCAAATTATCCTATTCCGGAAGAAACGGGAATTTATTATTTTGAGGTTAATGTTTTGGATGGTGGAAATGGCGAGTAAGTTTTTTCAACAAAAAAAAAAAAAGTTTTTATATAAGTATTGATATAAATTGAATTTAAACTTAATTTTGTAAAGTTTAATATCGGTTGGTATTGCAACGCTAGACTTTCCTCTTGCAAGACATGTAGGTTTGTACTAATAAAAGTTTTTTTTTACAGAAAAATTTCTTTAATATTTAAAAAAAAATCTTTTCATTACTAGGATGGGATCCAGGTTCAAGAGGCTACCACGGTGACGATGGCTTGAAATTTCTTGAGCGAGGATTTGGAATCGAATATGGTCCAACTTATACAACAGGAGACACAGTTGGCTGTGGCATAAATTTTTCTTCTAGGACAATATTTTTTACTAAAAATGGCATTAATTTAGGTATTATGGAAGTTCATTAAAAAGTTTTTTTTCTTACGAAATCAATTTTTATTTTAAATTTTTTTTTTATAAAAAAAAAATCTAGGAAACGCATGTTCATTCGAACCATATGAAACATTATACCCGGCTATAGGAATGAGAAGCCAAAACGCTCGGGTGGAAGCAAACTTTGGAAATAGGCCATTCAAATTTGATATCAAAGTATACATAAAGGTATTTTCTATTTTTTAATGCCTTTTTTCTTTTATAAGAATTTAATGGTTCTTTTTTTTACTCAAAACAACAGACCCTTAGTTCACTAAATAGAGATTCTCTTTGTTATGATTTTCTTTATTATAACAGTGAATACATTTCTGATTAATTATGATCTCCAGCTTTTTTCGATGTATAATACGTATTAATAAAAAATGGCATTAACTTTAAACCTAGTAGTATAAAATGATTTTTTATTTCATGCAAATAAAATATAATGGCTATTTGTTAACATTATCATTAAAATTAATTTACACAACCTTCAAAGTATCAAATATATATCCTATTAGTACAAAAATAATAAACTCTGTATACATAAGTTTGTTAATTTAACTAAATCGCTTCTTTTTGGTTAAACAAGATATATAATTTTTTAAACTCAACATTCATCGAAGTCATAATAATAATTACCATACCGTATTGTCGCGAAATAACGGGCATGGGCGTTATTTAGAGGTTTAGCCCGAGTTAAGCTTAATTTAGGCCGAAATTTGAAATTTCACCCCTGCGCGTTATTTCGCGACAATACGGTAATCCTTTTCGACATTATAATTTCTTATAGAATTTTACTACTATGTTCCTTTAGGTTATCTTATTCTTTTCCCACCAGACCTACGATTCACCTTTATTCTGTTTGTTCCATCAGGTTGTAACTTTGGTTTACTTTGTTTAGAATTTGTAGAGATTGACTTTATTTTATCAACTACGAGTTTTAAGATTTGGAAAAGGCATACATATATTATCATCTTTAAATCCATCTGTTGCCATCATAATGTCGGGGTGGTAGTATAAGGCACAAAGGTAATAATTGAATATTTATATTAACTAGATTTGTATTGTGATAATCATAAATTATTAAACTAAAACGTGGCCAATATCTAATAATATCAGGTTCTCGCCTTTGATATACAATCAAAAAATAATGTAAAAGATATGTCATGACTTGAATTATAGTTACAGAATGTGGTATTTTTTGTGTAAATATCTACATAATCGTGGGTGTTTGATGTTTTGTAAGGCAAAACTAAATAACTACCAAACTTTATATTTTTTTGATTTGTTTAAGACAAGATTTAAAGAAGCTAATAAAATTAGCTAATTTTTTAGTATATAGTCTAAATAATTTTAGTTAGAATTATTAAGTTCTGGCTAAAATTATAAAACTTTAGTTTAAATTATAAATTTATTAATAAAGTTTAATAATAAATAGCTTTAATCTATTAACCAATTTGAATAATTTAGTTACTAAAACAATTCTCTTAAAATAAATAAAATTAACAAATTAAACTTATTAAAATCTAATTACAAAATTTTAAAATTAATATATAAAATATGGTATATTAATGTTTGTTTATATTTCAAATATTGATTAGAGTATAATAGAAAGAAAATTAACAAAAGAATGTTGTTCAATTATGACTAAGAAAAAATAGATAGTTGATAATTTTATGTGACAATTTAATTAAAGTTTTTATTATTTTATAGACTTAAAGAATTCAAACAAAAGATTTATTAACAAAATTAAAACAGTAATTTCATATTACTATATAGAATATATACATCAGGAAAAACCACAAAAATTTTATATATAATTAATTAGTTTGAATATGAGGATTTTATTTGCAACTAGTATTATTCTTTTTATTTAAGTAAATATAATTTATCAAATATTATATTATTTTAATTTTGTTGCATTTTTTTTATTTAATAAACAGTGTTAGTTTTGATTATATCAAATTGTATAACTTTTAGAGATTATTTGACTAGATTGTGTAAAAATATCAATTTTTAACAAAGCTTTCTTAAATTTTTTAGCAAAAAAAAATTTTGATAGACTTTATATTATTTTTTTTATTAATAATTTTGATGTAATATGCTTAAATATTTTTTTTAAAATGTTAAATATATTAAATAGCATTAAGAATAGTAGTTTTGCAATTTATTTTGTTATTGTTATAGTATTTTATATCTTGATTTTCTAATTTCAATAATTTTAATTATAATTTTTTCTTTAATAATATAAAGAAATCTATTTCAAATTTTATTTTAAAACAATTTGAAATTTTGTTTAATCAGTTTACAAAAAATTTTTTTTTTTTTTTTTTTTTGGTGTTAAGGTGAGGGAGGCCTTGCTCATATCTTTATTAGGTAATTTAAATAAGTAATTACATAGAAACTATATAAAAACTAAATTTGTATAATAACAAGTATTTATAAATTACATGCAAGAATGG